GAGAGAGAGAGAGAGAGAGAGAGAGAGAGAGAGAGAGAGGGAGAGAGAAAGCCAGATACCCACAGAAAGGGTCAATCTCAGGCCTTGTGTACACCTGAGACCACACCTACATTTTACCAGTCTTCTGAAATAGCTTCTAGAACAGTGAAGGCAAACTTCTTGGAGACAAGTGACCAAACTGCAACTCAAAACCTGAACACTGAAGATTTAGTTTAGGGAAAAAAAAAATCAACTCATACATTAACATCTTGTGTTTTAAGAGTAAAACAATACATGCACCATTGGTTGGCCACCACTGCTGTATGCTTTGGGAAGATTATGAACTTTTGGAAGACAGGTGTTAAGTTCCTCATAGGCCCTATCACATTGCCAGGTACCTATTAGGGGTTAACTAAACTTTATTGGATAAATGGATGGTGGATAAACAAACAAATATAAACGAGGTTGAATGGATGAGAAAACAGACAAAAGAGTGTTCAGAACTAGTGGTAATGATATAAAGAAAGAGTAATAATAACTTCAGGTTGGCAGGTAATTATGGAAACCATGTTTATTTTTCTTCTAAAAATATATCTAATCAGTAAAAGATCACATATGTATAAAAATGTACCAAGTGCAATCATTAGCATTATGTTATAGAGGAATAGTTGTTACAACTTTTCCTTCTGAATAAGGTGGCACAGTGGATGGTCACAGATGGTTTGGTGTACAAAGAGTAGCAACAGTAGGTGACCAGTTGGCCCAATTTCTCAGGATGTAGAATTTTGTAAAATGGAAAGGCCCTAGGCAAACTAGGATGGCTGGCCACGCAAGAAAACGAATAGCATCAGAACACTGGATACAGTTTGCATTTAGGTAGAGGCTACAGACATTTTTAAACTTCCCCATCACCTCTTTTCCCCTCAGTTCTAAAGCAAAAATACAGAGTATTACTGCATTCAGAGTCTCACCAGTAAGTTTCATGTAATAAGGACTCAATCCATATGCCACCCTGGGAGGTAGGATAATTCTAACCTAATTTGCAAGTGTGGAACCCTACTTCAGGGCTCCTGGATGCCAAAGAATACTGGGGAAGAGCAAGGACTCAAATTCATATCTCTGGTTCTTTTCTTCTCTAGCACCGTCTACCAGGTCCTTTCTATTAGTAATAGGCAGGAATTATACAGGGAAAGGAAGGACCCTGGGGCCCAAGTTTGACTGGGTTTCTCACTTGGAAAAATGAAGATGATTACTGCTTTTCTTGGTATGTTTCTATCCCCTCTCATCTATCTTCATGTAGGATACACAGAGTACCCACTGCTGGTTGGTGCTGGCATCATGATATGGCAGAGGCAGTGAGGAAGATACAGTGTGTAGCCCTTATCATGATGTTCCAAATGGCTCTCTAAGTCCAGATTTCCCAGGGAGTGGTCAGATGGCCAGTTCAGTCTGCAACTGGCCACCTTGATTGTGGAGCTCAGTTTGGGTATCTGAGGTATCTTTACTCAAGTGAGAGGCCAACTCATGGCTGGTGGCTATTGCTCATAGGCTCAAATATTTGTCACCCTTTCTGCCCAACCTATAGGTCCTAAGGTAAGGAGGGAGGGCTTCAGGAACTCCCTGAGACTTAAAAAGATTAAGAACAGGTTACTGCTGCCCACCATAGACCTACTTGCTCTTGACAGCCCATTAGAACTTTATGTTCTGTCATCCTTTTATTTAAAACTCTTTTGAGCTCTTGGTAAGATGATTTTTGGTGAGATGGGGAAATGAAGTATTTTCTTCCTTACAAAGTAAGACTTCCTGAGGCTCTCCTTAATTTAACTGAAGCATGGGCCAGTGTTATCCAGGAGCAGAACTGTAATTTTAGATGAGCTAAATGAGTGTGGGGCTTAACAGTAGACCTGCCCCTTAAGATGTCCTTGTTTGGGCTGAGTTGCTCTATCATATGGATCTATTTTGCATGTGTATTTGCTAATATCTCAGAACTCTGACTTTTGTTCTGTGAGCTGAATGAGGGTGGGTAATTTTATTTTAAAATAAATAAATAGCTTTAAGGAAAGAGTGCTTATAACCTCTTGGGTGATTCCTCCTATGGTGAAATCTATGGTCCATTAGGTACAACAGGGATCCCAGACTGTATTCTTCCAGTCTCTTATACTAATTATAAGAAATTATAAAAGTGTCTGTGGCACTGAATTCAAATATAGTTTTCCTATGTAAATGTGGGTTTTTTTTTTTTTTTTGGCTCAGAGACAAAAAGCAGACCTAACTCTGTGATGGGAGGGATGCTTACCCTGAGTTAGCCATCACTGCAGTACCCTTGATATAAAGCCCTTGTGTGCAGGTATCTTCTGAAACTTGAGCTCCCAAGGGGTAAAGTGATGGTGTGACAAACCCAGTAACTTCCTGAGATATTGCCCGGGGTTGATACACTTCCTGGAATCTTATGGCTAGTTCCAATATGTTGCAGGCTTTAGTTATCTAGAAAGTGATGTGAATATGTTTGGGCTAAAACATTTTAAAATTCAATGCAACAGAAATGTAGTCTCCTCATAAAAACTCTGTTTGCAAGATGTGCTGCTGGTAGCAAAAGAAAAACTAGAGGACAACTGGTTTTTCAATCCTTTCCTTTCCTTTCCTTTCCTTTCCTTTCCTTTCCTTTCCTTTCCTTTCCTTTCCTTTCCTTTCCTTTCTTTTCTTTTCTTTTCTTTTCTTTTCTTTTCTTTTTTCTTTCTTTCTCTTGGTCAAACTCCTTGGAGCTAGTGCTTCCTCTTAGGAAATCAAATCTGGTAGAGAAGAAAGAATAAGACTGGCCAATTTTTTTCCTCTATGGAGAGGGAGGGTCCTGGGTTGTGTGGGTCAGTGATTGAGAGGCCTTTTCTGAGTGTGTGCAGATTGCTGCAGCTCCCTCATATGGTCAGAGAACTCTGGGATCGGCGATGGCTGCCTCTGCTCAAGGGCTGGCGCACATCATTTTGACCCCTTGAGTAGGCTCCAGGAACCAATGTCCTATTAGGCTCTAGGAGGTGCTGTCCAGATGACAGTTTAGCTGAGGGGCCCCCCAAGCATGGGTCCTCCCTCCTGCACTCTCTGCTGCCTCTCTGCCCATGGAGCATCCAGTCTTCCACATGTTTCCGCTTGTGGGGACTGGAGCTCTTTGGGGTGCTGGTTCTGAAGTCCTGCTGTGGGACAGGTGGTGCTGGATGGTGAGCAGACTGAGCCACTTCAGTGACGGGGGCAGGCCTCTTCTTGTTTCTCCAGCTCTGGATTTCCAGGTTTCTTTTATCCACGGGCAGTTTGTCAATTTTCTCAGCTTTTGAAATCAGAGACTTTCCATAAGTCCCTTGTACAGACAAGAAAAAGTACCTGGTAGAAAATAAAAGGATAAGGTTATTTTCTATTTCTTTGTTGACTCCTCCAATATCAGCACTAAATGGGGTCTTAGAATCCAACTCCCCACCTAGGGCAAGATCCAATCTGTTACACTCCCAAGTGATGGCTAGCAAATCTAAGCCTGGGGATTGTGATGTTGAGGAGCATGACAATGACAAAGTAGCTCATGTTTATTGACTATCAGGACTATTATGAGACATGTGTATTGTTAATTCATTCTTCTAACAATTCACCTGGTTGGTACAGTCATGGGTTATGTTTCCATCAATAATGGATCACATATATGGTGTTGGTCCTATAAGATTATATCACCTAGGGACATAGCCAGCCTAGTTTATGCCAGTGTGCTCTGTGGGCTTTCCACTGTGATGAAAGTGTCTAATGATGCATGTCTTAGAATGTACCCCTGTTGTTGGGTAATGCATAACTGTACATCCTCATCTATGTACAGATGCAGAAACTGAAGGTACTGGGAGACTGATTCAGTGATTTGTCCAGAGCCACACAGTGGCAGGGCTGTGGTCAGAACAAAACACCCTGGATCCAGAGGCTTGTCTGTCACATACCAGGTACAAGGGACTCCACTCGATTTTGGATCTACTTTAATTTTGGCAAGTTTAATTGCTTTGTAATTTTAACCCTTGGTGAAACTTAATAATTTATTTTAAAATAGTTTTTTTTCCCTAAGATTCATGTACCATGCTGACTTGAAGGTGTCATTTATTAATAGTGTTTTCCAAGTAAAGAAATTAAATGCTCAAGGGATGAGGGGAGATTCCCAAGGTCTCCTGGGAAGTAAGAGATCTTTGTGTTGACTGAATCAGGACTCCTTCCCTCTTGCCAAGCTGCTTTCAGCCTGTGGTAGAGTCTGACATTGAGAGTCTCTATCTCTGTCTACAAGCTTTTTCCCGTTGTAAATTCAGTCAGGGGAAAGTGTGACAAGAAGAATGCTATGTGGCCTTGGGAAGCATACATCAGCTTGTGATAAAGCTATTCATATTCCCTATCCAGGAGTCAGTTTCTTTGTCTGAAAAGTAATCTATCCCAGAGCACAGGTACTTCCCTAAGGTCATTTAAAAATGTTTTCTTTAATTTTTTAAAGTCTTAGAAGCAGAAAGCCTTCCATTATTCATGGTTACCCCACAGTAAGCAATGTGTTTCTGAAGATTATAGTAGATCTCACAAAGTCAGATAAAGTTTTTGCCATTATTTCTCAACCCACCAGTAAGGTCATCTCTGAGCTTCAGGAGAGTCGATTTCTTGCCTGAACACTAGAGCCTACCCCCAAACCATCAACTTTTGCTTTTCCCTTCCATCAGTTTGTCCAACTAATACTTGTCAAGTTCCCACAATGGGCTGTGCCACAGGATTAAGTTTAGAACGGGACAAACAGTTCTTCCTCTCTCATAGTACATGAATATAGTTACAGGTTGAAATGTCCAGAGAATGTCAAACATCTTGTCTGGAGAACTTCTTTGAGGAAGAAGCATTGAAGGTGAAGGCTGAGGTTTGTGTAGGATATAAGCAGGCAAAAGGGAAAGAATGAAAACCCAGGCCCCGATGGGCGCAATCTGGAGAGAGGAGAAATATGACCAAGGTGGGGTTGGTGGAGGAGAGCAGGGAAATACTAGGGGCCATGTTTGCTTTTTGTGTTTTATTGTAAGGGCCTAGGGAAGCCATTGGGGGTTATAAATAGGTGACGTGACCACACTTTGATACAGTGACAATGGATCATAATAAAAGACCCAATGGAAGAATACTGAATTAATTTGGAGTGAAAGAGACATAACCTGTCAATGGTAGTGTCCATAGAAATGGATCTGGGAAGTTTTCAGAGGTAGAATATTCAGGACTGGTGCTATGCAAGAGATGGGTATGAGGTAACAGAAGATGCTGAGGCCAACTTCCATAAGTCTGCCTTGGTTCTGAAAGGGTAGCATTTGCTGAAAGGAAATCTGGATGAGGACCAGAGTTTTGGGATGCTTGTGGCGATGGAGGAAGGAATCATAAATTAAATTATAGATGTTTCCCAGTTCCCTCAGACTTCATATGCCCAGTGGAGGTGATGAATAGATAGCTAGAAAGGTGTGTCTGGAATTCAGAAGAAAGGTCAGTGTTGGGAATTTGTAGTGAAGATTCATCAGTTACAGCTGATTTTAAAATCTATAATAGTGTTTGCTGTGTTTGTGAATTGAATATAAAGTTAGAATTCAAGAGAACAGATGTAGGATTAATATGTACCATATCAAGGATATAAGGCAGCAAAAAAAAGAACAGAGAAGTAGAAAAAAAAAAACAAAGAACAACAAGAAAACATCAACTAAGTGTGTGGGGTCACCAAGAGAACTGTTGCCCTGTACTTTACCTAATTATGAGGCTATATTGAGTTTTAAGGCTGATACATATTTACTTTTGTTTTATCTGTAAAATAATTTATATACATCTATGTTTCCGACTCCAGGGAATTTGTGCTGTTCTTTTATGCTGGTTGAACTAAGATCGTGATTCATGAAGTCATGGGTTTAGAGGATGAATTATCACAAGCTTGGTGAGTATGATCAATCTCCATTATGGTAAGTGGAGTTTACTACTTTAAGTGAATAAATATAGTTTTCTGCATCAAACATTCTATCATGTAGATCTCTATAAACAAATAGGAATTGTTCCAAGTTGGCAGTCCTTACAGCTGTTAAAATAATCCTTTCACTATGAGAAGAAATCTCTTTGCCTTTCTTAGTAAACAGAATTGAGTGAACATTCAACTTTTATTATGATAATGCAGAATAAGCAAAGATTTAACCTATGCATTATGGTAACTACCAAGTAAATATTTGCTAGCTTTTCTGTACCATGTCCCTCATCTGTTTAACAAGCTGTCAGGTGGAGTGCTTGTCTTTTAATATACACATGTCAATAGTCTGTATACTTTTCAAGGATCTTCATTAAACAGCTACTTCAGCCTTGTAGACACTGGCTTCCAATGTGCTTTCTAGTAAGGCACTGCTAAGGAATAGGGGGCTTACAAATTTATTTTTATACCCTGAATAAGAACTGGAATACAAGTGTTCATCCCTTAGCTAGTGGACATCGCAATTGTGTTTAACTTCAAAAGTGGGGAACAGATGTGCTCGCTTCGGCAGCACATATACTAAAAGTGGGGAACAGAAATGTGTACCTACATATTCGATACCTTTTTCCAACGAGAGCATGATCCTTGTGGCCCCTGTCACGGTCTTTCTCCCTATGGGTAGCACCAAAGAAGGAGTAGAATGGGAAATGTCCCCTGAGGCTTAATTTATACCCAGGCTACACTCTCAAGTCTCTCTGTTAGTACCAATCAATATCACATGTGGGCACATTTATATCCAAATCATCCACTGAATTAAAGAATTCTTAAGAGCAAGGGTCCTATATTATTCATCTCTATTTCTTCAGTTGAGTGCAGACTATGTGATAGGAAGTGCGCTAAATGATCCTTCCACAGAGATGAGGATCCCTCCTCTCCAGAGCTGATGGTTAGAGAGAGATGAACAGACACTTTCATGTGTGTGTGTGTGTGTGGGAAGCTTGTGACAGAGATATACTCAGGTGATGGAATTTGAGGGAGAGACCTGTTTCAGCCTGAGGAAGGTAGGGGAAGCCACAGAACTTCTGAAAAGGGTCATGCTTAACATAATGTCAAAGGGGGAGGACGTTTGGCAAGAGGAAGAGCATTACAAATAAGTCAGTGTGAGAGATGGCAAGGATGTGAGAAGGCCTAGGGTCACGTCATGGTACAAGAAACTTGGTGGTGTGGAACCCAAAATTTGAAGCAAAGATCAGGAGAAGAGGCTGCAGTGACCTATAGGGACCAAGGAAGGAGGTCATGCACACAACAAATACTTAGAACACAACTACTGTTATCGGTGTGTACTGGGAGTAACGCTACTTGCCATCTTGGTGCTTTTAGATTCCAACTCTGCATGTGAAGTCGAGGTTGTGAGCTAGTTTAGAAGGAAGAAATGGAAACCAACATGGGTTAAGCAAATGGTGAAACTTATTAAAGGAAACAAGGTTGTTGGTAGCTTTCTGCCTAATTTTGATAAAAGAAAGCTCTGCCCAATGTTGGGATTGTCCATTGATTATACGTTTACAGTGTTAAGAGGCTGGATTGTAATGTTCAGAGTGATGAGACCCAGAGGATGGAGAAAAAGTGACACTTTATCCATGACTTCACCATTGCTAATCAAATTCACCAAGTTTTCTAATTAGAATGTTCATTGGAGAAGAGAACGTAGGTCTCTGAGTGGGAGAATCTAGCTTTCACTGTGATTTGTGCTGAGTTGTGGACACATCTTGGCTCTTCTTGGAATTTCAGGTTTCTCGTAAACAAGTAGGACTAGAACCAGATCTCCATCTAATTCTTAGCTGATGGGAAAAGATATTAAATACTGTATGAGTGTGTACAGGAGAGTGTATGTCAAGGGAAGGCTCCATGGAAAGGCAAGACATTATTTTTGTCATTGTTGCTATTCTGGAAAGGGTGAAAACTAAGGATTTTAGGTTGGAAATATCAGAAGCAGTCTGTGGGCCATCAGTGATTTAGCTCACAAAGTTTTATATGTTATGTGTATTTTAAACAAACTTAAATAATATTAAAAGTCAGAAACTTCTGGCTTTTAATATTATTTAAAGCTTCATGCAAGCTTTAAATTCCTGGGAAATTCTGAAGCTCTGGAATGCCTCACTGGAGATTTCCCTGTGGTAGTGATAGGAAGAATCTAAGGAGTTCTTTCTTTCTTTGTCTGCACTTCACCTGCTTGCTGCAGTTGCTTGCCTGTCCCTGTAGGTATTTGGTGAGAGACCCCCTAGTTAATAGATAGATAAAGAAGCATAGAGGTTTGAAAAGGCTTCCTTGTCACACAACAAAATTTCTAAGTCAAAAATGCATGAATTGTTACACCCATTTCATAGATATTGTGATGGAGGCTATGCCAGAGTTGAGAGCAGGGTCCATGTCCCTTTTCTCCTACTTATTGTTCTTTTTGTCTTAGCACCCTATCTCTGGCCAAACAGCCTCAGGGAGCCTATCAAGAGTAAAATCTCTCACTTAGGTTATGAACATTGCTTATCACAGGGAGACCAGGAGTTCTAGAAAGGAGTTAGCCACGGTGCTCTAACCTTGGGAGAAGAGCCACGACTGGGGTGAGGATGCACACGAGGTAGAAGGTGGGGTCTGAGAGCTGGTTTTCCATCACCCAGTAGGGGTTGGCGGGACTATTGCAGGTGACACAGATGGCGTTGTACAGTAGAGACACCACAAAATACATCAGAAAGCTGCCCAAGAGGACGAGCCCATGGATGAAGGTCTGTGGAGGGAAAGAAGAAAACACGGTTGAAGGTATTGATTAGATTAGTGGGTAGTGTGACTGCACTACTTGACTAACTTTGTTTGAAGCATTTTTGAAATGTAACACAAACACACACACTTTTTAAGAGGCAAAAGGTTTAATGGATCATTGTAAAACAAATGTCCATGTTGCTACAGCCTAGAACTGGAATATCCATGTCTCAGGAGACCCTAAATTTTTTTTTATCACTTTCCTGACTTTGGTAATAATTTCCATGGTATCCTTATAGCTTTATCACATATCTAGGTTTCCCTATGTAACTTGTTTTAAAATGTTGGAGAGTTAGTGTTGTGCCATTTTGTCTTTTTGTCTCAAATTTATATGTGTGTTATGAATCCATTTTTTCCACTTATGATAGTAGTGAATTCATTTTCAAAGCAGCAGAGTGTTCTGCTGTCTGATCTTATTTTGTCCCATCTGGTTTGTGCTTTTCTTTATTCTTGTCTTCTTGTAAGCATACTATTTTGTATAATTTTTCTTCTTTACTAGTTTAAGGTTGGCTAAGGGTTTGCCAATTGTATCTAATCTTTCAAAGAAAGATTCATTGATTCATTCAACTCTTTGATTCATTTATTCTTTGTATTGGTTTCTTAGTCTCCATTGCATTAATTTCTGCTCTAATCTTTAGAATTTTCTCCCTCATATGAGCTTTGGTCTTGACCTTTCTCTTATTTGTCTAGAACCTTGATGTTTAATATTAGATTACTTATTTGAGCTCATACTGTTTTTCTGATGTGGGAATTTGTGACTATAAATTTCTGTCATAGGACTGCTGTGATTATATCCAATAAGTTCCAGTATGTTGGCATTATTGTTTAGTTGTAGAAACTGTCTATTTTCTTCTTTAATTTCTTCTATGACACATTGGTTGTTCAGGAGGGTGTTATTTAATTGTTTATTTAATTTCCATGTGTTCATGAAGTTTTTGTGGTTTCTTTAGCCACTGGTTTCAAATTTCATTGTAGTATGGTCTGATAATATATATGGGATAATTTCAATTCTTTTGTATTCATTTAAGCATTTTCTATGAGCTAGTATGTGGTCTGTTTTGAAGACCATCCCATGTGAAGCTGAAAAGAATGTATGTTATGATATTGTGGGGTGGAACACTCTGTAGACATCCACTAATCCATTTATTGAAAATTTTGGTTCAGTTCTGATATTTCTTTGTTCATTTTATCTGTCTCTTGTGACAGTGGGGTATTGAGGTCTCCTGTTCTGATTGTATTAGTGCCTGTTTGAATTTTCATGTCCCTTATTATTTGCTTTATATAGTTGTATGCATGTTACTTGGTGCATATATATTTATCAAGGATATGATGACCTTCTTTGTCTCCCTTGATCAGTCTTGGCTTGAAATCCAATTTCTCTGCAAATAGAATAGCTATTCCTGCTTTTTCCTGTGTTCCTGTCACATGGAGTATTCTTTTCAATCCTTTAACTTTAAATCTCTGAATTTCTTTTTGAGTTAATTGTATTTCTTGTTTGGGCTATATTATTGGATCTTGTTTCTTGATCCATTCTGCCAATCTGTTTCTTTTGAATGGTGAATTGAGACCAATAATATTGATGGTCATAACTGATATGTATTGACTTATTATTGTCATGTTATTTTTCTGTTACCAGTTCCTTTTCTTTTTCCTTGTTTAATTACTTGCCTTGCTGGGTGGATTCATTCTGCCAGGGATCATGGAGTTGTAGCTTTGTTATCTCCTTCTAGAATGTCCTTTAGAACATTTGGAGTGCTAGATGGAGCCAACTCATAGCCAATCTGTAGGGGCTCTGTGTTCTGACTTCTATTGGCCCAAAATGGCTACTAGCCAGTGGCCCTCTACTTTAGGGGTGGGATGTCTGAATCTGAATAACTCACTAGCCACTTCAGTCCCCAGTGTCCACTGCTCCATTCCAATGTGTGTTTTTCTGTGGAGGCCTCTAGGGTCACCAGTAGTCACCGTGAATCTGCAGGTTTGAACTGTCCCTCCCATGCCATGAGTCAGGGCTGAGAGAGAAAGCTCTGCTTCCACTTCCCTCTTCTGTGCTGCGTCCCCTTTCTTCAGTTTCCTCAAGTGCTTTAATTCTTGCTTCAGATCCTTGCTGGGTTCCAGGAATCCACTTCCCTCTTCCTTCTCTTCCTCATGTTCCTATATTCAAATATCTGGATTCCAGATATCAGAGAGGCTGTTTCTCTGCTGCTCACCATTCTGCCATTTTACCAGAAGTGCTGGTTCCCATTGGAATGATTGGGAAATCAGCAATCTCTATTTTTAAAATTTTTTAAAATTTTATTTTAAAGAGATAATCTCTTTATCTGTTGTTCCTTAGATGGAAATTTTCTTTTCTTTTCTTTTTTTGGTTCTTTTAAACATTTTTTTAAATGAAATTTTCATTTCTTAGAAATTTTTTTTTCTCTTTGGTGTTCATTTTCTCTCTTTTGGTGTTCATTGTAGTATGGATTTGTTTTTTACTTATCTTGCTTAGTTTGTTTTAATCTTCTTGCATCTGTGGACTGATGTCTTTCAATCACTTCTGCAAAATTCTCAAGTGATCTTTTGAAACCCTGCCTGTATTTTGTCTACCTTATAATTTCCTTCTGAGATTCTTATCAAATATATGTTGATTTTTCACCTACTACTTTATCCTCTATACTTCTTAATAACTCTTCTATAATTTTCATTATTTTTCTTCTTTTGTATTTTGGAAAATTTCAAGTAACTTTCCCCTTAACTATATTCAATCTACCTTTAAACTAGCCATGAAATTATTGTAATTTTTATTACTGAATGCTCTATTTGGCCTCTTTTAAAGTCTACTAGATTACTTTGTATAGTTCAACAATCTCTGGTGACATTTTAAAGCTTATTATTTATTTCTTTAGGCACACCAAGCATAGATTTTGTATAAAAATATGATAATTTCAGTATCTGATATATCTGTTTCTTTGATTCTCACTTTTATGCTCTTGTTTCCTTGTAACAGTGGTCATTTCTGAATGTGTGATGCTATTTCTAAAAAGTTAATAGGGATTATTTGAGGGTTAGTATGTAGATACTATCCTGCGGCAAGGATAATATCTATATCTATCTCTATCTCTATATCTCTATATCTATCTATTGATATAGATAGATAGATAGATTCATAGCTATATATATATATCTCCATATCTATTTATCTGCAGTGCAATGCCCTTGGATCAGTGGCTCAGCCCAGTCTTGACTCCCTTGACACTGAATTTATAGGTTGAAGTTTGGCTCACCCAGATGGTGTACACCTGGGCTTGACATCTATGCAAGGCCCACCCATGGTTACAACCTTCAAAGGTAGTTCTTTATGCTGATTGTCTCTGCTCTGTTCAGCACAGGGGGAATAAGCCATGTAGAAACTGCTGAGGAGAGGGTTAGATATAGGTGCATTTTTAGTATGCTCTTGTCCTTATTCTGTGGCCTTTGATATCCCAATATACTGCGGCTGGTTCTTAGATTCATACTATGGGAACCTGTGTTTTAATTTCTGAGTCTTTTACTCAAGTCTGTCAAAACAAAATTCTTTTGGGCAGGGTCATAAGTATCCTCAAGGAAACAGGCATTGGCTCAACTTAACTCTCTAGAATCTCTCTTTCCTGGAGGTTTTGGTCTTTACTATGATGTCAGCTATCAGCCTTTCACACTTTTACAGAGTTTTAAAAAATGTTATCCAATATCTTTGTTTTCAGCTGAAGAGATAATCCAAATAAGTCATGCCCTGAAGGAGTAGGCTAGGTTTCTCTTTTCCTTTTTAAATTATTTAATTGAAGTAAAATTCTATTTTTCATATGCAATGTATTTTTGAATCATTTTGTGCATTGTGCAATAGGTAAGTCAAGCTAATTGACATGTGTATTACCTCACAAGCTTATACTTTTCTTAGTGGCGAGAAGATTTAAAAATCTCTTAGCAGTTTATGACTATAATACATCTGTAGTTATTAACTACAGTCATCATGTTGAGCAATAGTGTTTTTGAATTTATTCTCCTAACAAATTATTTAGCTAACTTTTACAGTTTTGGTAAGGACTGTGAAAACAGACTCAACTATTAAAATTCTATTTTATTTCCACTAGGGGAAGAACTAAGCTAACCACTGATTGTAGTACTTTGAAAAAGGAGATATGTTTTTCATTTCATAGATGACGTCTTCCCAGACAGTACTAGAAATCAGAAGTAACTATTGGGGTAGTTGGTCTAGGACTCACTGTGTGGATTAGCAATGCTAATTGTGTTGCTATCTTTTAAGGCTAGTGGGTGCAGTGATAAAGAGAGTGCACAGAATCTTGAGGCTTACCATCAATTTAGTATACAGTGGAAGCCTCATTACACTGTGCAGGGTGTTTAGAAAAGTTAAAAAAAATCTACTGGTTAACAGGATCACAGACAGCAGAGTTTCTCTTGGAAATATCTTCAATTTAAAAAAAATGTAATTAAATTACTGCAAAATTATTTCAAGGATATAGATAAAGATTAAGTGTTATAGCTACCATGAAATGGATGTGGTGGTACATGCCTGTAATCCCACCTACTCAGGAGGCTAATGCATGAACATTTCGAGTTTAAGGCCAGCCTGGGCAATTTACCAAGACTTTGTCTCAAAGAAAAAGTACCCATATCTCTTTGTAAGTGATCTCTCTTTAATCTTGAATTATAATTTTAGTATTTATCATTTTATGCGTATGTTTATATATTCATATTTATGGATGCTTTTGGGCTTTACAATTTGTATCCTATGTAATGAACACCCATGTTCTCGCCCAAATTAGTGTGTTGAAACCTAATCCCCAGTGTGATAGTATTTGGAGGTGGCAGCTTTGGGAAGATAATTAGGTCATGAGGGAGAAGCCTTCATGGATGGGCTTCCTGGCCCTGTAAGAAAAGGCATGAGAGAAATTCTCTCTCTCTCTCTGTTTCTCTCTCTCTTCTTCCCTCCCT